GTTTCACTGAAATTTAATTGTTACAAAAAGTCCGTTAAAACCAAAATTTAATATAAACCATAATTTTTTTTGGATCATCTTCGTTCTTAGCAAAAGAATAAATAAGAAATTTGATTTTTTGAATTTAAATATACTGAACATTTTGATAATTGTATACAAAAAAACCCAACGCGTTTACGTATAGCACTATGGCGTATAGTGTATACGTAGGTAGGTACTCAAAAATAAAAACAGCTGTGTCAGTCTGTAATAGTACCTGCCTACTTTGCAGTACGCACAGTAAATTGAGAACTAATTGGAAAATAAAATGATTATATAATAGTATTCAACAACTGTTGTATGAATGTGCGATACAACTATACTAAATATAGGCTATAACTATAATATTATAAGAATAGGTATACCAATACGGGGCACGGGCACATATTTAAATAATTAAATGTAATAAAATAATATATTAATATTATGCATCTATAATAGCCATTAATAAGGACAGATGCAATAATAGCAGATAAGCTATTACCTTTAACACATAAACACATTTCTTCCGCGAAAACTATGACCAATTAAGATAAATTCGTACTTGGTACATACACTATGCACAATGTCAATTATATTATTTCATATTTTATAATATAATAATTTATTATTTTACACATTATTGTTTTTCGTTACGATTTGGGTTCTAACTACAATCCTAAGGAGGGGCTAAAAATTAAAACCTCGTAGGGGGGCTAAATAGAAGTACGCGAGGCTAAACCCCCTGAGCCCCCTCCCCATAGTTACGCCGATGGTCGCGTCGCGTCGCTCTGTACGCCGTACTGTGATATTTATCGAAATAATAAAAGAAGAATAACAATAATACATCGATAAATATAAAATTAATAATTTAGTAAACCGATAACGCTTTATGCGTATACACATAAATTATATAATATACGATAATTTCCAGTTTCCGTGCGTGCGTGTATATAATAAAGATACGCTGGAAATTTCGGCGTTTTTCATACACTCATGAACAATTTTATATCTAATGTTGAAGATATAAAGTTCATGCTCCACTATATATAGTACTGTACTTGCCTACAATATTATAATTTATAAATTATATCATAGGCGCAAATAGACAAATTGTTTTGGGGGGACTATAATATTTTCTAAAAATTATATATCCTCAGTACTAATTACTGACTTTTGAACTGGGGGGACTTGGCAGAAACATGGGGTGACTAAGTCCACCCAAGCCCCTCTTGGCTGGCACCTATTTACCTGAGTACCAATATAAAGTTACAAAATGTGATTTTATATTTTCAAATTGGAAATTTCTGGGATTGCCACGTTGCATACATTTATATTTCAGGGCAGGAGTGCTACTTCGTACTTGCTTCGTCGATTATCAGAGCAAGAAATTCAATTAGAAAATAAAAATGCATTTCGTGAATCAAAGAAAAAAATTAAAAAAGGTGGGTAAGTGGATGTCGCTCTGCTGTACAGTAGGTTACAAGTGGGTCACTGTATAATGGATGCTATTAAATTTGAATTCAATGATACAATATCATTGTATAAGAAAAACGATTCTGAGCGAAGACGGTATGTCAGTCTAGGTTTAATACAAATTATATACATATCTATGGTATTAAAAAAAAAATTGACCTATAATAAATTCCAAATTAATCATATCACATTATCACAATATCCATTAGGTACTTATAACACGTTATACATCAACATCAACAACAAACCCTGATACTATCATATATATATAATAGTACACTTTAGAAGTTTCAAGTAGGTACCCACGAATAATATTATATAATCACAACAAAATAACTAGGTTTTTTAATATGTAATTTCGTCCAAATTTGAACATAAAATGACTATAAAAGTAAACTGTGATTGTATATTTTTTAGATTTTTCGGTAAGAGAATTAACTACTTACGTGGAATCTTGTTTTAAATTTTCAATCCTTAGCTATAAAAACTGAACATTTTATAATTTATTAATTACGATGATTAATAATTTTCGAGATTTTGAAAAATTCTATCAAAATTCGATGTTAAAATGCTTATAAAAAAAAATTGTGCCTATGTATTTTTAATATTTTTCAACTGATATTGTAACAATATATCAGGAGCCTTGTATTAAATTTTTACACTTTTTGGCCCAACAGATAAAACTTAATTGATATTTATAGAAAAAAAAAACTAAAAAAAATTGAAAACTGAAAATGTCCGTAAACGGCTCAAAAAGTGTCAAAATATTTTCAAAATTGTAGGGTGTATAGGAAATGCTAATATAAACATTCAGTGAAATTTTCATGTATCTACAGTAATTCGTTTTTTAATTACAACAAAAAAAGGAAATTGCCACATGAGAAATCGAGTGAATATCCAATGTTGTAAAAATTTGAATTTCAAACGCTCATAAAAATTTAATTTGACTTTCCGGTAGAAATTTTTTTATTGATAAAGGTAGACAATCTTATGAGTAATCTTGTATTAGATTTTCAAATCTTAGATTTAAAAAGAAAAATTTTTACGAATTCTTAACTCAAAATAATTTGCTAATTTTCGTGATTTTTCCATATTTTGTCAATTTTTGAACTTTAAATGCTTATAAAAAAAAATTGTGACTAAGGATTTTTAATATTTTTCATCTGCCTTTGAAACAACATATTAGGAGCCTTCTATTAAATTTTCAAGCTTTCGCAACCAACAAATAAAATTTTATTGAAATTTTTAGAAAAAAAACTAAAAAAAAATGGAAAATGAAAATGTCCCTAAACAGTTCAAAATAAATCAAAATATTTTGAAAATGTTATCGTGTATAGAAAATGCAAATATAAACAACCAGTGAAAATTTCATGTATATACGTTTATTTGTTTTAGAGTTACACCAATAACCAAAATCGATTTTTTGGAAAATCAATTTTGCGTAAAAATTCCCGTTTTTCCTTAATTTTTATGTTGTTTTTCCCGGCGCTTGTGAAAACTACTGGGAAATTTAAATTTTGACCTCCTCAATGCACCAACGATATTCACTTTCCAATCGAACAAGATACTGAAGTCGAAAATCGAAGCATTATTTCGACTACTTATCGTGTACACAGATACAAAAAAAATAAAAAAATAAAAAAACACACATCATTGTAAAATCAATACATTCATCGTTTCACTCAGAATCTAAAATTAAAAAGGCAACTTTTATTCAATTGTATAGAAATATGCAATTTATACTTTATAGTCATTTTTACTCAAATATCATAATATGCAAAAAAAAATTTAACCATTGAATCTACATATTAAAAATCGTCAACATTTCGAAACAAAATAATTTCTAGGCGAACTGTAGGAGAATATGCATTTACATAAAAATCCGATCAGATATGTCGACATGTAGGTACGAATATATTATATTATCAAACTTTGAGTAAAAATTATAATATTTTATTTAGTATTTATAAAATATGCACATTTTATTTAATTATCCAGAAATATGCAATTATTATCAATTTAGGCATTATTATACAAAAATATGGAAAAAAAAATACTATCAAAATCAACATAATATTACAAAACGTCAAGATATTTAATCACAATTGTAAGTCAAATGTAGAAGAATACGCATTTGCATAAAAATCTGGACCCTAGTCATAATGATCAAACAAATCACTTACATAGCAGACATTTTTTTTTTCAATTCTGGCAAGTTAATGATAATTTTTAATTGTGTAACATTTTAAAAAGTCTAAAGTTAATAGTTATCCTATTTTTTTTTAACTCAGTTAAGTTATATGGAAACTTACAATTAATTTATTAACTTAAGTCAAGTTATTTATTTTTTTTTTTTCAACATAATATTACAAAATATGTCTTATGTGGTTTAAAATAAAAAAAAATAAATGTTGATGCAATACCTATGAATCATCAATAATAATTTTGTTATAAATATTATTTAATTGTTTATAAATTAACGTAACTTGGATTTGATTAAGAGTAACTTGTTATATCTGAAGTATAAAAATCAGTTTAATTAAAAATTATGTTAATGCCACAGTTAAATGTTAAAAATTAAAACTAACTTAACATTTTAACTCATTTATGAACAGGCTAGGTTTTTTTTTAATGTTTTAGTTACTTCTTTTACTTTTTTTTGTCTAACAAGAAAAGTTTACTTATATAACATATTATAATATAAAAATATGAAAATGCATAGCCATCAGTTTAGTTTGCTTCATGTAAAATATATATTATGACATTTAGACATCACTCCACTCCAATAATAAAGTACATGCAGTATCCATTTTTCTTCAAGAAACTTCCCTCAATACTGATGACAGTAGCTTTATTTTTCTAGTATAGGTATAATCTTTTAAAAGTTACTTTAATTGCAATATCATAAAATATACTTAGTAATAATATAGGCAGACCGTCTTTGCTCGGTAACCTTTCATATATAATTATTATTTTTATCATTGAATTCTAATTTAAACAATACATAACTGTGACCCTTCCAAGCACCAGCTACTGTACAACAAAACAGTACCCACTATCAATTTTTTTGTTATGTCTTTCCTAGAAATTTTGAAAAGTTCTGGGAATTTCCAATTTTTCAATTTGATTTAAAAAGTAAAAAGTTATATTACATTTCCTTACAGATATCACCGCCAAAATTGAAAATCCAGAGTTTTTTCTAATTAATTTTTGTTTACAGATACACACAAAAAAAAACATGGGTCATTGTAAAATCAATACATTGATTACTCCACTCAGAATCTATAAGATATTATAATGTAAATAATAAATAATATAATGCTTTGCTGGTATACTGCAACAGTGCAACCTAATTAACTGTATAGCTTATTTAATTAATTTGCAAATTTAAATTATAAAACATTCACAAAAACAAAAATGTATAGAACAATACAGGTTTCATCATAAATTATCTATAAATATGTTCAAATTAACAACAACAGTGAGAACATTCTGTTTTATGCTGATTATTTATGATGTGGTGGTCTATTAACGACTACTCCACCATAAATTTCATGATTTGACAATATATCCATGGTCCAAGTTTTGGTGATTGGGTTGTAAATTTCTACAGTACTATTAAATTCTCCACCCATAACATACAATAAACCATCTAATACAGCTACTCCTATAATAAATGTAATTTAAATTCAATATATTTTTAAAATTATTATTTTAGTTACCAGGCCTGTATCGAGGGAATTGCATATCAGCTATAAAAGACCAAACTCCATCACTTGGTCTATAAACCTCAACACTTTTAAGAATCCTTCTTTCATCATAGCCACCAATAGCATACATAAGACCGTCCAAGACTCCTACACCAACACCTTGACGGCATACAGACATTTCTGCAACTGGAGTCCATGTGTCGAGTGTGGGATCATAATATTCCACAGATTTCAAAACTTCAGAATTAACACCTCCAACCTACACAATTAAACTTAATTAAATATATTACAAAATAAAAATAAAGAAATAATATAATATTAGTCACCGCGTATAAACGATTATTGAGAGCACCAACACCCAAATTATATCTCTCAATTGTCATATTGGACATCATTCGCCATTTTTGAATACTAAAATCAAATACCTCTACACTCTTCAATATACGGTTGAATGAACGCCCACCAACCTAGAATTACAATATTATATATATTTATACCTAGTATAAAATAATTAAAATATTGGTTTAACTTACTGCATATATACAATTATCTAATAAGCCGACCCCTAATCTATGACGTCTAAATAACATATCAACCATTGGAACCCAAGATGGAGATTGTTGAGATACATCTAACATAATAACAGATTTAGAACTTTTTTGATTTTCACCTCCTACGACAAAAACCAACTGTTCTTTTATCACACCGAGACCAGCTAACTGACGGCATTTATTTATCCCTGGTGCCTTCTCTCGTAGCTGGGTTGCTGGGTCATACCATTCTGTATAACACATTGGCAATGTCTTAGACCGATTGAACATTAGAATAACCTGATAGAATTAAATTGACATAATTATTATGATGATAAATTAATCTACTCGGAATCATACTTTTTGAGAACCATTTAACTGTCTAGGTTTACACCTTATCGATTGTGGAATGGCAAAATTCTGAAATGAATTTTGTAGATTAAAACTTAATGCTTCAATTATATAATCTTTACCTAAAAACATAATAATTATTAATAAAATAAATAAATTAATAATGAATGCATATTTGTGAAAATAACAAACATTTAGGATTATTCTTAAGAAGAGGTTCGTTTATTATACTAAATAATATATCAGGCCTGGATGCTAATATTGGCAAACGTATATGTTCCATCAATTCTGGTAAAGAATCTTTTCTCAAATCCAAACTATGTTTTACCCATTTAATAACACCTTGAAATACCTACAAAAACAAATATTTAATATTAAGGGCGTTGAATGCGGCGATTTCCTGTCTTTATCTAACCACGTTGGACATAGGAATAACAACCTAAGCGACTGGCAGAAATTAAGGTAGGTACTTCTAGTTGTTCGATTTAAAAAATGTAAAGATATTTGAATTATTATACAAGTTTACTTTGCATCGGTCTAAGCATATTTTTAATATTTTTTTAATATATTTAATACCTATTAAAAATTGACAAATTTATAAAATTTAAAATATTTATTCTCATAAAAATATTGCTACAATTGAAAAAGTACATCGACCGATAACACAAAATTTGTAACTATTATGACTACGGGGGGTGTGGGGGCAGAGCCCCCCACTAACAAATTCTAGTATATTTTAATTTTCAGAACCCACCCCATAGAAAATTCTTGAGAACACCACTTATGACTACAGATTATTGTTTATTACTACAGTGGTAATTTATTTCAGCATTATGTTATATTATATTGCCAAATATTTTTTTTTATACATTGGTTTTATTGCCAATAACAATAGATGTTAAGATTATTATTTTCACATTATTTTGAATAAAAAACTGATTTTATGATTTTAAGTATAATAATATTTAAATAATATTTAAGGATAGACATACCAAATTCTTTAACTGCTATTATAGTGATATAGCATAAACTATACAATATTTGTGATTTATTATTGTTGGTATTATTTACAATTTATATTTTCGATATTTTAATTTGATAATATTGTCTTAATACTGATATTTGTAATTTTTACCCTGGTCGTCTTTTAGTTGATGATTTTTTTTGTGTTTTATTATTTTTAGATTTATAGTTAATAGAGATTTGATACTCATGGATTTACATAAATATTTAGGACTGAAGGCCGTAGCAGTGAAATTTATTTTTCTATAACTATGCGATATCTATATTTATTGATATAATTAATCCACATTTTTTTTTCAAATATGAATGCAAATACATGCATCAGAACTTGATAACAATTCCGTACAGTTATGTAAATCAGCAAACGCTCTGATACCAAGACAATTCGATGCATCCAGTTGTTTTTGTAAGAACTCAGCACATACAGCACTTACAAAATCTAACTGCAAGATGTTTGCAGCTGGTAATAAAACCTTGAAAATCAACAATAATACATTCAAAACAATTTTAAATTAGTCTATGACTAATCAAATTTTTAATTATACCTGAACATTTTCATTTGTCACTATAATCTCTCCAGTATAGATATAATCTACTAATAGTTGTAAAACGGTGGAGTCTAATTCTCTTATATTAACAAGATCTTTATTGTTCCCATCAAAATTATTTAACATTGCACGGAAATATGGACTCGCTGCGGTTAGAACATTTTTATGACCAATCGTTATACATCCATCGTCTGTTTCAAATCTGATATCATATAAAATTTCATTTCTAAAAACAAAAATGTGTTAGGTACTAATATTCATTTTGAAAGAAGCTAAAATCATTGACAACATACCTGCGTTGAGATTGTAAGTCTTCTAGTATTCTAACACAGTGAAGGTTATTTCTGAAATGTGTTGGTGCACATTTATTGGTTTTCAAAACTGGTTTTAGATCATTTTTACATGATAAAGTCTGTAAGGCATCCATTTCTTTTACTGACATTACACCTTTGAAATTATTTAAAAAATTGTGATACAGTTTTATATCATGATTAAAACTTAATAATGCATTTAAGCATAGAAGCAGTGAAAACCAACAAAATACTGCTGTTAAGAAATTACTAAGTTTTAATAAAGATAAATAATTGTTGAAATAAATAATAATTAATAAGCAATTAATAATGTTGAATGTTGATTGTTCCTAGATTGTAGATTGTATGTATACTTGTGTGTATTTTCAGTTCTTTAATTGTTGGATCTAAAACTTTTACAGGCCATTTTAAAATTATTATCAGGCCACAATTATATACTTCCTCTATTTAGTTTATGTACCTATATATTTATTTCAGCAAGCAAGCGATAAAATATAAATAAAAACAAGGAATGTTATTTTTTTTTATTATTAATTGTTCTTTACAATATGACTTTTAATAATTTTGTATGGATAGTTATGTACTCATTTGCTGTGTCACATCAAGAATTTATTTAAATAATAAAATTTACAGATTATATACCTATTACCTATATTTAAAATTCATATTGGGACTTCACTTTCATTTTTATCAGAACAAATGTGTTTTTATTAAGTATTATTGGCTTATTGCCCAAAAAATTTACAACTTTATTATTTGCCACTTCACATCTTGGTCACAATATTATTTAAAGTCTTAAACATTTAGTATATTTTTATTGTTAGTAAAATATTACTGTGTCTGTGTCTAGCCGCCACCGAATCATTGAAGGTAAGATAATGTATGCTCAACCATGGTCAGGCGTTAAGACTCAGCGCAATTATTATTGAATTGCAATTAATTTATAGAAAATATTGTATTTTCTACTCAAAATAGGTACCTAGTGCCATCATTGGGTGGCTTCTTCCGTCATACAACTCATGTAACCTATATATTTTTTATCAAACGTGTTTACCTATTGTTCCTTGAACAGATTGTAAATATCTTGTAAGAATAAAAAAATATTGTATTTTCTTACTTACCTCTTTATTGTAGTTGAATACAATCCGTTTCAATAATGAACAATAGGTACTGCAGGACAATAATATATGTATTGAAGCATAGGCCTATATTATAATCAATGTAGGTACCTATATAATATAACACTTAAAATTAAAATTGATTTATCTATATATTATATTATTATGTAAATACCTAATGACTGTGGCGGCGTGGCGTCTCGCGTCTGTGCCTCGGAGATAGATTTGATGATATCTTCTTGGCTCTTGCTGTCTTGCTAGACAGAAGAAAAATATTAAGTAGGTACGTTTTAATTTCTTTTTTCATACATCCCATTATTTAAAATAATATATATTCCCCTCTATAGGTATTTAAAATCATATTATGTTATCTTGTTTGCGTAGTAAGAGATTATCGAACTTATTTATAAATTATAGTACCTAGTAAATTGTTTAATTGTAGTAGCGTTGATTAACATTTAAAATCAATATCTTATATCAGTAGTTAGATTAGTACTTTGTACCACTTACGATATGAAAAAGGTGGATATATATATATATATATTAATTATTAACCTTGGATATTACATTGTTTATAATTATTAATTGTATAAGACGGTTTTATCAGTCATGACTCATTGACTCAAGAATAAATGTTATTTATTACAATAAACCAATGTCCAAAATATGTCCAATATACCCAAGCCCGGATTAAGGAGGGGGTGGTCCAGCGGGGACCATGGCCCCCGGGCCTCAATAGTTAGAACGTATTTAGGGGCCTCATCAGATTTGTCTATTAGGTACATTTTAGTTTTTTCATTATACAGGCTATAACACTGCATAAATTACCTAGGTAACAATAATCGATGATTATTTAGCGAGGAAAAAAGCTTGTAAATTATAATTTCTAAATATAGTGATACATTTTTTATTTTACTTTGTGTCTGTCATCAGTCATCACCTTTTAGGACAGTAAAAGGGCTTGGATTTTCTTCAACAGTATCTTTTCTGATAGGAAAGTGAATCTAGTTGGTAATTTTGGGGGGTCAACAGTAGAATTTTTCCAGCAGTTTTCAAAAGCGCCGTGAAAAACAAAAGGAAAATTAAGGAAAAACGGAAATTTTTAAGATAAGTCGATTTTGATTTTTCGTTTAACTCTATAACAAATGACCGTAGGACATGAAATTTTGACTGAATGTTTATATTAGTATTTTCTATACACCATAACATTTTCCAAGTACCTATTATGATTTGTTTTGAACTGTTAAGGAACATTTTCATTTTTCATTTTTTTTTAGTTTTTTTCTAAAAATATCAATAAAATGTTATTTGTTGGTTAAAAAAGCTTGATAATTTAATAGAAGGCTCCTATTTTATTTTTTCAAAAAGGCAGATGAAAAAAATTAAAAATCAATAGCCACAGTTTTTTTTTTAAATGCATTTAAAGTTCGAATATTGACAAAATACGTAAGAATGACGAAAATATGCAAATTATTTTGAGTTAGAAATTTATGAAAAATTTTCTTTTTAAATCTAAGATTTTAAAATGTAATACAAGATTCCTCATAAGTTTGTCTGCCTTTATCAAAAATAAAAGTCTACAAGAAAGTCAAATTAAATTTTTATGAGGGTTTGAAATTCATATTTTTACGACATTTGATATTCACTCGATTTCTCATGTAAAGGTTTTCTTATTTTGTTGTAATTAAAAAACGAATGACTGTAGACACTTGAAAATTTCACTGAATGTTTATATTAGCATTTTCTATACACCTTAC